CATCCCAAAGAGAGCTACTGGGAGGGGATGTTGAAGCCTTACATGCATTTTTAAATTCGTAAATGCCATCAGTGGAGTCTGGAGCAATCAGATAACTGACTCCAAAGGCCTTGCTGAAAGGCACTGATGTCTTCATGCCTTTGTGAGTTGTCTTGCCCTGCACTGGGTCTCCAGATCCTACATGGGTTGCTGCCAGCTCTGTGAGGGATAAGGAGGAACCATAACTGTGCAAACAGCTCTGGGGGCTGTGATGTGTGTGCACCATCAAGTGAATGGGGCAGGTTTTTGGGGGATCACCTTCTGACGTTGTTCTTGTGGCAGGAGTTTTGTTACAGTGCTAGAAGCTGTTTTCAGATCTCTCTTCCACCATCAGAGGACCCATCTTCCCCTGGTGCCTCTGAGAATGTGCCTTACCAATCCCCACTCCACTTCTTCCATGTTTTAATATTTGGGAACCACAATAAAAGTGCAACAGAATTGGAGACAATGGAAAATACAGTCCAGTGTGTTCCACAAATTTCAAGCACACGAAGGAGGCAAGTCAGCCCAGTGTGTGAGATACTGTGGGCATCACTAGGGGTTGTTGCTTTCACTTTGTTCCCAGGCGTAGTTTTTATTCCTTGACCACACTGATCATCCCACCCTGATCCCACACAGCCTCTTCCATGCAGCAAGTTGCAGATTTCTCCTCCCAGACTTGGTGGTGGAGCTGGAACCCTGCTCTGAAGTCTGGTAGCAGCTGTGAGTGCAGCTTCCCATCAGCTCCTTCAGCTGTCGGAGTTCTCTTGCCGTGACGCGGGGAAGTTTCCGCCTGAGGAATTTCAGGGAGTGAGGCGAGGGTGGGTGTGCATTTTAATTTCAGTTCTGTTCTGCCTGACGGAAGGTGCTCGCCAGCCCACTGGATTAATTTTCAAAACTCCTCAGTACGGTGCTTGTTTTGCTAGGAGAACACACCGGGTTCATTGGGGAATAAGCAGGCAGAGCAGGAATTTGGGGAACAGCAAAACCAACCACGCAGACAGAAGTTAGTCCGTACAGCCTATCGGTAACCTGCGTGTTCCTTGACCCCGTTCCTACCCCTGGGAAAGAGGCTCTGACCCCCCTGGAGGATCTTTGCCTCCTTTTGGATCGTAGTTACTGGATTGGAAAGGCTCCAGTTGTCCAGCTCTAGCTCAGCCATCTTCCACTGGTCCCATCTGCCCATTCATCCTCCAGGAGAAACGGAGCCGTCCTCCTGCCAGCGGGAACTGTCGGAAGCTATTTCCATGTCTGGTGCCCGGGCAGGACGTGGGGGAAGGCGTGGAGAATTCCCGGGCAGGCAGTTGAGAAATGGAAGGCGATGGGTCCAGATGGAGCAGAGACATCTTCACGGAAAGGCTGCTCTTCCTCCTCTTCGGTTTCTTTGCAGCTGAGCTTTGACTGCGTTAAAAGGACCATTCACTTGGTCCCTGCAGGGTTTGTAGGACCAGGCTTAAGGATCCAGCAGCGAGGATGTGAATGCCGGAGCGAGGAAGCCCGGATTGATCTCTCCATATCAAAAAAAGATTGTTATAATAGAGTGTTTTTGTTGATTTGCCTTGATTTTCCACCCCAGAGGCTCCTTAGGTTTTGGGGACATGAGGTACATGGTGGTCATGGGGCAGCTTGGGGACAATCCTGGAGAACCCACCAGGCAAATCCCTGTGTAAAGCAGCTGTGTTGGACATTGTGCAAGCGAGATGCAATCTCTGCCTCCCCCTCGTGAATTGTGTTGTTGCTATTTTTATTTCTTTTTTTAATAAATATCGTGTTTGTGTGCCTGGATGACATTTTCCATTCAAAAAGGGAGGGGAGGAATGAACGTGTCACCCACACCCAAGGTGCTGGGCACATAACTCAGGAGAATTACTCATAAACCTGCAAACCTCGTTATCCAGCTATGAAGGATTTCTGCCACCAATTTCCTCAGTCTGGCCACAATCCTGAAATTAATCTCACCTAAAGAGTCAGGAGCATTTCCTCTCTCAGTGCAGGCAGAAATCGTTTCATTTTGTGGCTGAACCCTTCAGACAGAGAAGAAAAAGGGGACAAAACATAGGGGTTGAACCCCTTGTGACTTTGTTGGCCTTGTTTGAGCTGCTCTTCCTCCTGCCTTTTAAAGCTTTGGTGTGAGCTTCTCCCAGCCTCTCTGCCTTTCTTGGCAAACCTCAACATGTTTCCACCCGTCATCTCCAGCACCAAAACACCTTCTCCTGGTCCTTGGCCATCCCCTTGAGCAGCTGACCTTGCCCTTGGGCACACTCATCCTGGATGTTTGTCACCACGTTTGCTTCCCAGATGGATCTCCCCTCTCCCAGTCTGCTGTTTTGCTCTGCTGGGGAAAACCCAGCTGCCCTGGGGTTTGTTTTGCACATGCCAGTGTAGGTGGAGCAGATTGGAGAGGACTCAAAGCACCTGGGTGACTGCTGAGCTGGGGAGGGTGAGGTGGTTTCTCCATTGTAAACATCTCAGGGGAGGGAGAGAGATTACCCATTTTGGGTAGCAGATGGGATCTGGAATTACTGGTATTTGGATCTTGCTGCTTGGGAGAGCTCTCTTCAGGCTCCCTGAAGTTCATGTTGCTCTATTTCTTTCTCCTCTTGGAGACTCACCCGGGTTTTAGCTCCTCTTAGCAATATCTTGCAGTAAACAGAGATAGTGAGCGTGGGATGGTTGAAACCCAGACCTAAATGCACCTCTTACATGCTCTTCATCATACTCTTCCTAAATTTCTTTCTCTGGAGAAGGAGAAGCTGGCAGCTGAAGCCACAGATTCCCAACCCTCAGCCCCTGCTGCTTGTTTTCCTTCCAAAAGAAATGAGGTGAAGGAAAGGGGACTTTGGGATGCCCGGCAGAGGAAACATCCTTACAACCAGAGCAATGATGGAGTGAAGCTGGACCTAGGATGTCCTAGGCAATAGGGCTTGGAATGGGCTGCTCAGGGAAGTGGTGGATTCTCTGTCCCTGGAGGTTTTTAAGGTGAGACTGGATGTGGCATCAGTGGTCTGGGAACCACGGCGGGGTTGGATTAAGGGTTGGACTTGATGATCTCAGAGGTCCTTTCCAACCCAGCTGATTCTGTGATTCTATGAATACAAGGGAACTGGCAGGCTGAAAAAAAATCATAAAATCATGGAATCATAGAATGCTGAGGGTTTGGAATGGACCTGAAAAATCATCTGGTCCCAACATCGCCTTGTCCTGCCCATGTTGGTCACTTTTCCCAAGTAGCAAGTGACAGGACAAGAGGAAACGGCCTCAAGTTGCACCAGGGAGGTTTCAGTTGGATGTTAGGAAAAAACTCTTGATGGAAAGGGTTGTCAAGCGTTGGAATAGGCTGCCCAGGGCAGTGCTGAGTCACCATTCCTGGGCATATTTAAAAGACCTGTGGACGTGTCACTTGGGGACATGGTTTAGTGGTGGCCTTGGCAGTGCTGGGTTAATGGTTGGACTCAGTGACCTCAGAGGTCTTTTCCAACCTGAAACGATCCTGTGATTCTGATAAACTGAGAGCATTTCATCTGTCAAGCTGCCAGCTATGGCTGGTGGCTTTTAAAAAAGTTTGTGTTTTCCCTGTTAAGTGAATTTTACCTTGCCAAGAGGACATGAGAGGGCTGCTGGGCATGTCCCAAGTGTAGGATGCTGAGGGATGAGGTGGATTTACCACTCATCTGCTAATGAACAATATGGCAAACGAGAGGGGATGGAGTGGGAGGACTGAGCTGAGTTGGCTGATGGTGATTTTCATAGGTTAAACAGGCAGGTAGTGGGGAATTACATCCTCCAGCTGCAACAACTCAATAAGATCAATGCTTACAAGACCCCTCACACAATTTGATCCAAATCCTGATTAAACCTCTAGGCTGGTTGTCCCCAGCCTGCTCAGTAACACGAATATTTGTTGTGCTGCCTTTTGATGTTTCTCACATCCAGCAACAAGAAGCTGCTGCTCCAGGAGGGGAAATTCGGCTGCCACTGCATGTAATTGGCTTGGTGTGTTTGCACAGAGGTCACTCAAGGCTGGGGTTGCTGCTCTGGGCAGATATAAATCATTGCTGCAATTTTATCTCTTGAATTTTTCTGCCTGGGGAAATTGCATCCTGTTTTAGTGGATTTTTTTTTTACTAAGCTTTCTGAATGGAGAATGGAGAAAGTGTGTAGTGTTTATATAAAAAGTGTTTATTAATGCAGTAGGATTTAAAAAATACTCAGCACAGAGCAGTATAGGAGCTAAATAGAGTGTGTGAAGGGCTTTCTCACTGGTGTTAATTGAACAAAACAAGGAAGTGTATTAATTAAAAGGCCTTTTGTGAGCTCTTGAGAGCTGCCTGGTGCTCATCTAGTGCAGGACTTGCCTCCCAGCGTTGCTTTTTCCTTGCAGAATTGGGTGCTTTTATAGCCAAGAGGTGTTGTTGCTGGAATAAAAGCTAAATCTGGAAGTTCTTGGAAGGTAGGGATGGGTGTGTGTGTGTGTGTTTGATGGCCAGAATGAGAGAGAAACAACCAGCCAAGACCTTGATTCAGCAGGGCTCTCTCTTCTCTCAAGTTTGACAGACACTGAAGTGCTTAACTGGATTGTGGCCAGAGTGGCAGGTTTGGGATCTTAAAGAAGGCTGAACACTTAAGCAAGTGATTCCCCTTTTCCACTGAAGGTTTTAATTCATTATTTGTTATTTTTCCAATGGCAATTGTTATTGCAACCAATTATAACCCTCCTACTTCTGCACCTCTGCTAATCTGGAAATATTAAAAACTCTTAGCAATTTTAGAGTTTTGTTTCTGATTTCTTTTAAAAAGAAGATGCTGTTCCTGTACTCAGCAGTGATGTTTTGAGGAACCAACACTTGCTCTTGTACCTGTCCTACAGGCCAGTCTAGAGGCTGCAGCTTGTGTCTGGACACCAGAGCTGATGGTGTCCTTAACTGTGACAGTGAAATAGTTTTCTTCCCAGTACTAATCAGTTGTTTTGCTTTTCTTTCCAGATTAGAAGGAAGTCTAAGACCAGGGGAGCAGGACTAAGGAAGCAGTTGGTAAGAGGATCTCTTCAGGAGAGGGTCTCCTGCACGTGGAGTGGTGGGGCTCAGGCAGATGCAAACAAAATTTTGTCCTTGAGAAATGTTTTTCTTTTTTTTTTTTCCTTTTTTCTACCTGTGGATTTTATTTATAGGAGTTTCCCTCTCTTTTGGACTGAGTTGTGAAACGTGAGAGCTGGTTTATGAAGTTTTGATGGCGAGGCTGGGGAGGAAGTCCCAGGGTGTTGTTATATTCTCTCATGTGGAGAGCAACCTTCTCCAAGAGCTGTCTCAGAGTTTTGACCATATTTTCATGTTCTCCCTGTCTTCTCATTGTGCTGGTCCTTTGATGGTTTCATGTCTTTGATTTCCAGAGTTTGTTATGTACAGAAAAAGTGAAATGGAGGGAGTGTCCAACACATGAGCGTTTAAAGGTGCCACGCAGAATTAGAGTCATAGAAGAGTCTGGGTTAGAAGGGACCTTTGAAGGTCATCAAGTCCAGCTGTCTTGCCATGGGCAGGGACACCTTCCACTCCATCAGGTGGCTTAGAGACCCATCCAGCTTGACCTTGAATGTTTTCAGGGGTGGGGCATTTACCACCTCCCTGGGCGACCCTATACCAGTGTTTTTGCCACACTCATCACAAAAAAATTCTTCCTTCTCTGTAGTCTGAACCTCTACCCTCTTTCCATTCAAAACCATTCCTCCTTGTCCTGTTGCTGCAGGCCCTACTGAAAAGTCTGTCTCCTATTCCCTGAAGTTACTGAAAACCATGTTGTTCTGTGGGTCTTCAGGTTTAATTTCATGTTCCTCATCTTGGAAGCTCCTGCCTTGTTGGTCTCCAGTGCAGTGTGACGGGCAGGGTGGGGGGTGCTGGTCTTGTACCACACTGGTGGGATGTGCTTGTGTCCCTTGCATGCTCACTGGTCCACTCCCAAGGATCTTGCTCTTTGCTCCAGCAGCACATTCAGGAGTGGCAAAAGAGGCAAAGCCAAGCTCCACTGGCTTTTTTCTGGGACTGTTCTATCCCTCCCATTGGTTTTAGCTCCTCTTGGAGGTGTAGGGAGCTACTGCAGATTTACAGGACTCCTCCCTGGTGTCCCTTGGGGCAGCAGCTCTGATTCCTCACCTGCAAGGCTCGTGTCTGGGGAGGGAGCAGTGCTTTGTGTAATTCTCATTTCCTTGTGGCAGCACTGGTGCTGAATCAGTGTGACAAGTGTCCCTTTTGATACGGGTGATGTTTCCCTAAATTCTGGTGCTCGTTGCCCCTGGATCTCCTTGCAACAGTAACAGCAAATGTTACTGCTGTCCTGAATAGTCCCCCAGTACCACATTTGGCTTGAGAAAGAACATAAATTGTCCTCCTATAGGGGTCTGGACTGGAAACCAGAGGATTTGCCTTTCAGTACGAGCTACTGGTGCCTTAAAGCAAACCTTGCTGAAGGCATCTTTTCTCAGCTTTACAGGTTTACCTGGACTGGACACGTCACTTAGTGCCCTGGTCTAGTTGACAAGGTAGTGATCAGTCAAAGGGTTGACTCAGTGATCTTGGAGGTCATTTCCAAACTAAAGGACTCTGTGATTCTGTTATTCTATGAACGTGGCCTCTGGGAGCAGCCAAGACCCATGGTTGGGAAGCTGTAGTCAACCATGTGATGGTGAAGATTGTTCCAGCAGTGAGGGGGGGAAATAAATCTTGTGGCATCTCTGTATCTGTGACCCATCTTGCTTTTGCTGAACCTGGAGTCACAGGGCCTGGGCCTGGAGTCACGAGCCTGGTGCAGGGCATTGTTGGTGGTGTGAATAATGAAGGACACCACACCAGGCGTGATGAATGTGAAAGTCCCACTGCCCTTTGAGAGATGCACTGATGGTGTCAGCCAAGCTGGGGCCAAGATATCTCTGTCCAGCTGTCCTCATGGTCCTTGGCTGTGCTGACAGCACGTTGGCCCCCGTCAGTGTGTTGACCTGTCCAAGCTCACAACCGTTGCTGTGTTGTCTTTGTGCTCTTGGACACTTGCTGATCTCCCTCTCCCCACTCCACGTGTACCCTGGGTCTGGTGCTCTGCCTGTCAATGTGCTGCAAGGTGAGGATGAGGAAAGTGGGTGGGAACTGTTTGGGGAGAGTCACCCACAGTTTCAGGTTGGCTGGGGGATGCTCTTGCTGATGCTCTTGAAAGCCCCACTGTTTGGTAGCCACATGCGGTGCTTTGGGAGCAAAGCTACGGAAGGACATCTCTTGCAGCAGAGAGACCTTCTCTCTTCCTGCTCAGATTTGCTCTTTTTCACCTGCTGAGACCCTGAAAGTCCAGGCAGTGGAGTTGTTTTCAGCTCCCTGATTCTCTGTGCCGGTGAAGGCACTTTTACTGGAAGGGATGTGCAGGACACAAGCACAACGTGCTCCCTGGCCCCAGCCCGCTTCATCCACATGACCAAGTGTTTGCTGGAGGCTGCTGAGGTCTGAAGAGGCCACTCCATGCTAAGTAGACCAGCAGGTCCTCCCTGGGGACATTGTTCAACTGGCCTGACCCGTTCTTCAGCCATTCAGGTTATGCAAGTAAGAGGTTGACTGGGGCTAAGCCTATGCCTGGGTTTGTGTCCAGATGGAAGCACTGAGCATCAGCTTCACTGCTCAAACTTTTCCTGTGTGACCAAGTGGTTTTCTTTCTTCCTCTCTCTGATTGGTCACTTGTGCTTTCATGTAGAGGTGATTGGAAAAATCACCTTTTTGTATCAGTGCTCAAAAATACATATATGTGCACAACACTACATATAAAATAAATCTTTGTTAGTTAAACCAGAGATTTAATATCTATGTGTTGATGCCCTTATTGTGCCTAGGTCCTTGCTAGATCTTGTTGCATTTTCTCATTATCCCCACCCTGATCCTTTCAGATGTTCCTGGTGAACTTCACAAATGCTGCTTTTCATGTACTGTTTCATCATGTACTAATTTTGTCTTTAGGGACGTGAAGGAACTGGGGGTGCTGTTTTTCCAAGGGCACATTCTGAGGCTCAAAGCTGATGAAGGGATGAGAGGAAATGGCCTCAAGTGGTGCCAGGAGAGGTTTGGATTGGATATTAGGAAAAAAATCTTCGCTGAAAGGGATATCAAGTATTGGAAGAGGCTGCCCAGGGAAGCGGAGTCACCATACCTGGAAGGACTTATAAGATGTGTGGATGTGGCAGCTGGGGACATGGCTCAGTGGTGGCCTTGGCAGCACTGGGTTAATGGTTGGACTAAGTAATCTTAAAAATCTTTTCCAACGTAAAAAATTCTGTGTTTCTGTATGGACTTGGCTTTCCATTGCTCCTCTCCCAACGGGCTGCTCTGTATCCTCATCCCACATGTGATTCCTTGAGACGTTGCTCTGTGGGATGCCACTGAGTGTGTGTGGAAAGGAAAAGAACCCATTCTACAGCATCCTTGTGCAGCTCTCCCAGCTGTCAGCATGTGATGTGCACAGTGTGGTGACCCAAAAACCCTTCTCCCTGGGTGGTGGGTTAATCTGACAACCACCCCCGCCTGCCTTTGGGCTGGATGTGCCGAGGTTTGGCATCAGTGCACCCCCCACCTCAGAGCACTGGGCAGTGTCTCCAGGCTGTTGGCATATCCTGTGTTTCCTCAAGCCAGTTTCTTGGCCAGCATTTCAGCACTGGGGTGGTTTCTGGCCAGATTTCCCCGGTGTGGTGGTCCCTGCTCAGCGAGCAGCGCTGGCTTTGCCTCCGCAGAGCCTGCGGCTTCTGTCCTGCTGCTTTATCCCCGCCTCCCAGTCCCTGCATTCCTGCAAGGGAACAAGATAATCACTGTGTTGGGTTTGTAGCAAACCCCCCTCAGAGTGACAGCCCTGGGCAAAAGCCTGTTGATGTGTGTGCTGGGGATGCTGATTTGCTGGGCCACCATCCCAATCTCCTTAGAGCCAGATGAAGCGCCGCTCTGAGCTTCCTCGGTTGTCTTTCTGGAGAAACGCTGCCTCCAAGTAACCCCGGGATCTGCACAGATTCCCTGGTCTTCCCTGAAGGAGTAGGAAGGTGTTCTCCCACTTTGTGTTTGGCAGGGCAGAGCGCTGCAAACAGAGGGGAGCTTTCCGTGGTTGGATGCGAGCGTCGCTGTCTGGCTGTGGGAGGTGTCTGCCGAGCACCACATAGGGAGACGGTTTCTTGTGATTTGGGAGAGCTCCTCGGATGGGGAAAACCTGGGTGTGAAGGAATTTGTGATAAGAGGGCTGTGGCAACTCTCCTGAGAGAGTGGGGGCTGTTCAACCCAGAGAAGAGAAGGTTCTGGGGAGACCTTAGAGCACCTTCCAGTGCCTAAAGAGGACTCCAAGAGAGATGGAGAGGGGCTTTGGACAAGGGCCTGGAATGACAGAGTAAGGGGGAATGGCTTCACACTGCTATAGGACAGGTTTAGGTTGAATATTGGGAAGAAATTTCTCCCTGTGAGGGTGGAGAGGCCCTGGTACAGGTTGCCCAGAGAAGCTGTGGCTGCCCCATCCCTGGAAGTGTCCAAGGCCAGGTTGGATGAGGCTTGGAGCAATCTGGGATAGTGACACTGGAACGAGGTGGTCTTGAAGATCCCTTCCCACCCAAACCATTCCATAATTCTATGATTTTCCTTGAGATGTGGGGGAATAAAGGGAAGTGAAATGACAGTTATTGCAGTAGCTGTTGCTGAGGGCAGCTCCTGAATGCCTGTCAGCTGCAAACTGGGGTTAATCCCCACTGAATATTAATAGATTGATGAAAGCTTTCCTGTGCAGTTCTTTGGACCAAGCACTGGCACCTGAAAACACATGGAGTATGAAAACTGCATATTGTTCCCAGTTCTCACTGTACTTAGCAATCACAAGTCAGCTGGGGGCTATTTTCCAGCCTAATAATGTCCTTTTTTGCTTCTAAGGTGAAGTGGGGGAAAGATGAGTGTCCTTGCCCTCCCTCTGTCAAATGGCTGTGAACTTCTGCTTGGAATTCTGTGATGGGGCTGACAATTTGCCTTCATCTGTTTATGTACCCATT